CGTCATTGTTTGGCGGGCCTGGGCTAGGGATTCGAACCTGCCATCTTAGGTGTACGTGGCTGGCACCTTAGCCGCTTGAGCCACAGGTGCCAAGCCCTGACCTTAGGTCTTATCCCCTACCAGGGGCCTCATCTCTGTTGTCCCTCTTGCCTTTCTACTTTAGGGCATCTCCATCTCCCTAGCAGGAGAAAGCCACCCAGACTGTGCCTCAGACTAACAGACCATGCAGGCTTATAACCAGAGAGCTCTCCTCTCCCCACTGCTCCCCTGCCACCCAAGTTTCCTCCTTCCAAGAAGACCTACTGGGGGCCAGGTGCCCTGCAGCAGCTGTCAGCTCCATGGCTCTCCACCTTTCCCCATCCAACTTCATCACCCCACGCAGAAAGGGATTTGTTTGCTTGCTGATTCCTGTGGGCAGGGGCACGGATAAGATGTGTGCAGCCTATGTGCAGGTCCCCAGGCGCTCCACCCTTTTATCTCCATTCAGGAAGAGCTGCAAATACCAGCAAGGGAGAGTGATGTCACTGCAGACACAACATGGAATTCACTGATATCTACCCTAAAACAACAAACCCTTTGCCACTTTTCCTAACTTATTTATAGCTTCAAATTATTGGCCAGAGGCCTGACAACTCTGAGAAATGCTGTCTGCCTCAGTGCCAGCACTGAGAACCATTGTCTTTGCCCAGAAGATTCTCCCCAAAACCCAGGAGATGGATATTACTGTATTTTCCCCATTTTGTCCCCAGATGATGTCCCTGGGTCTCAGGAAAAGTGAGAAATTTGCCCAAGGCCACACAGCAATTAAGTGAAGGAGCAGGGACTAGAGTCCAGTGGTCCTGGCTATGAGTCCCGCTGGTGCTGTCCCAGGCTCGCTGAGAGGTAGAACTGCTGAGGGACTGGGGGCGTGGAGGGGGTGGGGTGGGGGGCTCCTCAAGTAAACTGAGGATGATAATTCTTGCCACGTGGAGGCTGCCGTGAGGATTTCCATACGTGGAAAGAGCTTGGCAAAATACATGCTAGCACATGGCAAGTACTCAGGAAACAGAAGTGTGGGGAGGACAAAGCTGGGCTTTGTGGGGATACTGGCTGGGAGGGGACTAATGCCCAGCAACGCCATGACCCTCTGTCACTGTCCTATTGCAGCTGGGCCAAGATGCTTCCAGTGGTGCTACCCCAATTCCCTGAAATGGCTTATTCTTAAGGCAGACACTGGATTTGAGAGGTGCTCAGTGGGGGTGGGGGGCTGGCTGTGCCCATCACCCAGCAGCTTTGCCAGCCACCTAGCAGATTTGTGAGGAATCTCAGGGTTTTCCTCTTTTCTTTCCTCTGGACCTGGCCTTCACTGGCATCTCAAAATTTTGCTGTGTCTTCTGCTGGTTTGCTTTTCAGCATTTTGTCCCATCTGAAGTCACAGTTTCATTCCTAGTTTGGCATTTCCCCTCTCTCCTGACCTCCCTTCAGGCCCTGGAGCCCAGAATGGGGCTCAGAGCAAAAGCTTCTCCGCGTGGCACTCCCTTTCCTTGTCATCTCCCAGCACCCTGTTCTCTGTGGCTCTGTGTGCTGGCGTTTTGTGACACTGCACTTGCAGTGCTGATCCTGCTGCTGGAACAGTCTCTCCCAGGTCTCACTTTCATCTCCTTCCTGTCTTCATTCACATGGCACTGTCCCTGACCACGCTGTTTAAAATTGCACACTCCACCCTTAGCCTGCACCCCACTCTCCTCTCCTGCCTTCTTTTATCACTCAATATATTTTATTTACTTTTGGTCCTCACCCGTAGAATGCACACTCCAGAAAGGCAGGCACTTGTTGGTTTTGTTCATGTAGAGTGGTGGTTGGCATGAAGCAGGTGCTGGGTAAATATTTGTTGAATGAATGAGTACAGCATCACGCCACCCTCTAGCTCCTCAATACCCTGGCCTGGTAACACAGTGCCCACCCAGCCCTGAGGCCTAGCAACTGTCAGCAACTCTGAGGCAGAACCCAGCTTGCAATGCTTCCTGGTTGTTCATTTCCAAAAGGCACAAACCCTAGAAGCTGTACTTCCTGTAGCCAGAAGAGCGGAGGTTGGAGATGGAGGGCGGTGTGCATTCTCTGGGCAAATGGCAGGTGCCTTGAGGACTTGGGGGAGAGAGAATGGGAGGAGGGCAAAAGGAAGAGGTAGGAGCCAGCTGTGGTTCATTTACTTTTTGCCTTCAGCCTTGAAGTGGAAAATCACTGGACGTGGAGGAAAAGTAGGCTTGGCCTGTAGTGGCCAATGGGGAAGGCAGGCAGAGAGGAGGAAGAGAAGAGCAAGGGAAGGTTTGAGATGCTCCACCCAGTTTGGCGCACCGGTGGGTAAAAGGTAGTCCTGAGTGGCCTAGTCGTACACTTAGTGTGCATGCAGGTGTGTGGGAATTCACAGACTAGGGGGAAGGGGTTGCTGGTGGGAGGAGCTAAACCCATGGCTGTGTGTGGAGACTGCCTATGAGTATGTGTTTACCAAGAATTCAGGACAATGGGTGCAGAGAGGTGTTCATTCGTCCTGCGTGCGTAGGCATCTGTGTGTTTGTACAGGGCTCCATGGAGAACAATATGTCCCATTCCTGCCTCAACAGCTGAAGGACGCCTTTGGGAGCTTGGCGAAAGGCCCAAGGAGCGCGGAACAGGGAAGGAGCTGGAAGATAGGACTCCAGGGAGGGAACAATCATGGTCCTGGGATTAAATTTGTTGAAGAAAAGGCTAAGAGGGCGAATTAATAACTGTCTCCTTGCAAAGAAATGGGTTTTAGTCCCAGAGGCCAGGGAGGTAGATTAGAAGAAAATGCACTGTAGTTCCATCTAGAGAGATTTAGGTTAGACAAGGAAAAATGATCCTCTTGATTCTGAAGGTTATTAGCCTCTGGAATCTCTTAAGGGTCCAGAGGAAAGTCTTTAATAATAGGAGAAATCTCATCTTCGTATGGAGGAAAATAGGCAGTCTTCCTGGGAATGCTCATATACACACTAGTTTTTTCATTCATATATTCATTGATTTAATAATATTGAGCTTCTACTTTATGTCAGGCCTTATGGGGGAAATAGATTATTATTATTGGTTTTAATTTTTTGAGACAGAGTCTCCCTCTGTCGCCCAGGCTAGAGTGCCATGGTGTCAGCCTGGCTCACAGCAACCTCAAACTCCTGGGCTCAAGTGATCCTCCTGCCTCAGCTTCCTGAGTAGCTGGGACAACAGGCACCTTCCACAATGCCTAGCTAAGGAAATTGATCATTAATACCTGATCTCTTTGTTCAAAGACTTCATTGTTCTATAGGGACATAAAACATGAGTAGGAGCCCTGATAATTCAGGATGCCAGTGATATGTGCCTTCGGAGAAAGGACCATTCGCCAAACTCTCAGGGCTCTGGACACATTCCTGAATGGTGACTGATGATGATGTCACTGGGAGCTGAGGCTACATACCTCAGGGATCATCTTCCTTGATTAACCCAGAGGAATGTGAAGCCCATTGGTGGGGGGCTCCTCTGGAGAAAAGAGCAGTTTCTGGCTCTGTGATCAGAGGTCAAGGGATGGGGGAGGGGGTTGCTCCTTCCCTGCCTGGGGGTAGGGGTGTGAAAAGAGTCCGAATCATGCTGAGTCAGGGTGAGCCCTGGGAATCAGGCAAGGAGAGATGGACGTCACTGGGGTGAGAAGTATGTTGGGGAGGGGTTATGCAGCCATCTGCTTCCCTGCACTGTGGGCAGGACCTGAATTTTGAATTGGGGTTTCCAGAGAAATATGGCTCAATGTAGTACTGATCCATGATGATGGTGGTGGTGATAATTCACTACCAAATTTCTGCTAGTCACTGTGCTAAGAAGCTTTACTTGCATTTTCTATTTGTTCTTTCATTGCTTCAAAAAATATTTCTTGAGCACCTGTGCAGAGCGAGCTGTCTGCTGCATGTGGGATGATAACAGAAGTTAACCAGACAAATAGAGTCTGTGTCCTCCCGGGAGGAGCTAGGAAACCAAACAGTCAGTTATCACACAATACAATTTGCGGCTTGATAGT